TCTGAGTGGTAGTCGCAGTCGTAGTGCTTCTTACAGTAATCTTAAAAATTGCTAGTAATATTCGGATTCCTCCTCCTCCTGCTACTCCTCCTCCCTCCCCTCCCTCCCACCCTCCCTCCCTCCCTCCCTGCGCCTCCTCCTCCTCCTCCTCCTCCTCCTCCTCCTCCTCCTCCTCCTCCCCATCGTCATGCTCATCCGCTTCCTCTTCCTCCTACTGTTCCTCCTCCTCCTCCTCCTCCGCATCCGCCTCCTCCTCCTCCTCCGCCTCCGATTCCGCCTCCGCCTCATCCTCCTGTTCCTCCTCCTACGCCTCCTCATCCTCCTCATGCTCCTCATGCTCCTCCTCCGCCTCCTCCTCCTCCATCTCCTCCATCTCCTCCTACTCCCCCTCTGAATTCGGTCGGTCGCCTGCCACTTGTTTCGGGCCTTCGTGCTGGTCCGCTTTTTGTCGGGCCATCGGAACGATCCCTCATCGCCTCAAAATTATGGCCTGTGTGCTCTCAGATGGAGGAGGGGAGGGGGAGGGGAAGGGGGGGGGGGGGAGGAGGAGGAGGAGGAGGACCAGGAGGAGGAGGAGGAGGAGAAAAAGGAGCAGCAGGATAAGGAGGAGAAGGAGAGGGAGGAGGGGGAGGATGAGGAGGACGACGAGGAGGAGGAGGAGGAGGAGAACAAGGAGCAGGAGGAGCGCACGTACCCTCTGAGATGCGTCCATGGAAGGTCACACTCGATGAGAATTAACACTCAGCTGTCCTCCAGACCTGAAAGAGGATGAGGTATGTGGGACAGCATTGGCAGGAGCAGCACGGCGCGGCGGCTGCCTTGTGGAGGCTCTCGCTGACGAATTGGTGTCGATACACGTCAGGGCAGCATGCCTGGCGCGAAACGACGTGGTGTAGGATCCTTGGAGGTGCGGGTTCGAAGCGAGCTCGCACCTAATTTATGATAGATATGAAACGCCAGGACAGAGAGATGATTACACCGACAGATATCGATGGGATCATACTCACAAGCTACATTATAGGCGGATGGGGGTCCTAGCCCGAGACGGATCAGCGGGTCCTGGGGGATCACCGCGCGTGGGAGGGCACACAAGTGAGAAAGCCGAGGGCACCGAAGGTAGTGGCCGATAGAGTCTGGGGCGCATACTTCGATCCCTAAGACCTCCTCGCTGCAACCGAAACGGCACCCCTTGGGCGTCAAGATTCCGACCCGCGAGGAAGTCATCCACGCTCCCGCGAGGGTCTTGAGATGGGGCCAGATAAACGAGGGGGGTCGGGAGGACAGCACAGCTTTAAGAGCCGACCAACGTTTGGCAAGCTCCGGAGCATCAGGCAGCTGCTGATCAAACATCCACTTCGGCAATCGTCGAGAGAGGAGGCTAGGGAAGGAGTCGGGGAACAGATCAGCACAAAGAGACCGAAGGAGACGTGTCTGTCTGCTGGGGCCAGCTCTTTTCCGCCGACACTCTCCGTCGTCCGCGGCAGGAGCGGGCGGCAGCTCCGCGGCGGCCTCAATGGCACGACGGAAGATCGATCGAGGGATTCGCGACATCGTGACGAGGGACCGTTTCGCCTTCGCCCAAGACGCCGTCGGAAATTCATGCAGCGGCTCCTCGAGAGCCATAAAAAACTGGGCAATCGAGACACGACGCTTCCAGAACCACGGCGAGCAAGGAGCAGGAGGAGGAGGAGGAGATGAAGGAGAGGGAGGAGGGGGAGGAGGAGGAGGAGGAGGAGATGGAGGAGGAGGAGGAGGAAGAGGAGAAGGAAGAGGAAGAGGAGGAGGAAGAGGACGGGAAGAAGGAGGAGGGGGAGGGGGAGGGGGGATATCGCTAACCCGCGTCCAAGTCCGCCACCCTGCTGGCACGGAGTGGGAATATTAGAATGATCGCTTGTCGCTTGGAAGGTCGATTTAATGCTATCTAGGGCCGACCACCCCCCTCCCCGCTCGCATCCTTCTATCATTGGCCTTTCTGGATTTGCTCCCCACCGCTGTTTTCGGCCTTCAGGAGCCCATACTGGCCTTCAAATGGCTTTCAAGACAGCCGAAACGACACCAAGACGGCCCAAGATGGGCCAAGACGGCGTTAGAGGCTCCCAAACGGCCTCAAGACGGCTCGAGAGGCTAGAGCCCGAGGAGGCAAAAAGCATGGACGTCCCGCAAGTTGCTTCTAATGAGTTTGATGTCCCCATCCGTCTTGGTTTCCGACCGCCCCAGACGGCCCGCGAGGCCTCAAAGATAGCTCCAAGACGCCCCACGAGGCTCCCAAAGAGGGCCCCAAGTCGGGCCAAGAGGTCCCCAGGATCGCCCAAGAGCCTCCCAAGAGGGCCCCAAGACAGCCTTAAAGCGCCCCAAGAGGGCACCGCGACGGCCCAGAGAGGCCCCCAAGACGGCCGTCGAGGGCGTCGGGCGGGCTAAGAGCCCCCTAAGATGGCCCAAGAGGCCCCAAGAGAACCTCAAGAGGCACCCAAGAGGCCCCAAGAGGCGCCCGACGAGGCGAAAAACAGTGACTGGCCGAGGGTCGTTCAATGAGTTTGAGATTCTCGCCTGTCTGGGTGGCCGACCGCCCAGAACGGCCCAAGAGGCCTCCACGATAGCGAGGCCCCCAAAGAGGGCCCCAATCCGGCCTGAGAGGTCCCTCCTCATCATTCGACCCCCCTACGTCCGTCCGTCCGCCACCCTCCCTCCTCCATTCCTCCTCATGCGCCTCCCTCCTCCCTCCTCCCCCCTCTGCACTCCTCCCATCGCTCTGGACCCGCTGCCCCGGCGGCCCAAGCCCTGTCCCCGCGAGAGCCTTCGGCGCCATCAGCACGCGGGGAGCGCCCGAAGCACAGCGCCCGAGGCGGGCTCGACTGGAGAGCTGACGGCGCGGCTTCCACCTCCTCCTCCTCCTCCACCATATCAGCATCGGCATCAGCATCAGCATCAGCATTACCATCATCAGCGTCATCATCAGCATCATCATCAGCAGCAGCATCAGCATCAGCATCATCATCATCATCATCATCATCATCATCATCACCATCACCACCATCATCAGCAGCAGCATTAGCATCAACATCATAATCAGCACCATCATCATCAGCAGCAGCATCAGCATCATCAGTATCAGCAGTATCAGCATTATCATCATCAGCAACATCGTCATCGTCGCCAGCATCAGCATCAGCAGCATCATCGTTGTCGTCGTCGTCACCTCATCATCATCATCATTATCATCATCACCACCACCATCATCATCATCATCATCATCATCATCATCATCATCATCATCATCATCATCATCATCATTATCACAATCAGCATCATCATCATCATCATCATCATCACAATCACCACCACCACAACCACCACCAGCATCGCCATCCCATCAACATCAGAATCATCGTCAACATCGGCATCAATCTCGTCATCGGCATCATCAAGGACAGGATCAGCATCCTCACCAGCAGCAGCATCATGGTCATCATCAGAATCAGAATCAGCATTATCACCATCATCATCATCATCAGCATCATCATCATCATCACCCTCACAGTCATCATCATCATCAGCAGCAACATCATCGTCATCATCCGCAGCGTAGCTAGTCGTCATCATCGACATCACCGACATCCTCAACATCAGCAGCATCATCATCAGCATCGTCATAATAAGAATCATAATCGCCATCATCACCAACAGCACTCGCATCATCGTCATCATCATCGTCATCACCGTCACCATCGTTATCAGCATCAGCATCAGCATCAGCAGCATCAGCAGCATCATCATCAGCAGCATCATCATTATCGTCAACAGCAGCATCATCAGAACAATAGTCATCCTCATCATCATCCTCATCGTCATCATCAACATCATCATCAGCACAATCAGCATCATCGTGATCAGCAGCAGCAGCAGCAACGGCATCATCCTCAGCAGCAAAAACAACATCATCATCAGCAGCAGCGTCAGCATCACCATCAGCATCACCAGAATCACCGCCGTCATCATCGTAATCATCACCAGCAGCAGCATCAGCATCGTCATCAACATCATCCTCACCACTACCACCACCACCACCATCATCAGCACCATCACCACCATAACCACCATCACCACCAGCAGCGCCACCATCATCATCATCATCATCATCATCATCATCATCATCATCATCATCATCATCATCCACATCATCAGCATCATCAGCATCACCATCAGCATAATCATCGACATCATCATCATCGTAATCATTGTCATCGTCATCAGCATCACCATCAGATCATCATCATCATCATCAGCATCAGCATCATCATCCACATCATCAGCATCATCAGCATCATCATCAGCATTATCAACATCATCGTCATCATCGTCATCATCATCATGATAATCATCACCATCACCATCATCATCATTATCACAACCACATCAGCATCAGTAGCAGCATCATCATCACCATCAGCATCATCATCAGCAGCAGCATCATCATCAGTATCATCGCCATCGATACCAATTCTCGTCTACATCCGCGCTACGACAAGCCAAAAAGCACTGCGCACGAGGCGGGTCCGACTGAAAAGCTGACCGCGCGGTTTCCTCCTCCTCCTCCTCCTCCTCGTCCTCCTCGTCCTCGTCATTACCATCCATCATCATCAGCAGCAGCAACATCAGCATCATAATCACCATCATCAGCAGCATCATCATCATCATCGTCATCAACATCACCATCACCACAGCCCACCTCGGGTACATCAGCGCTACTGCCAAACTTCACTGTTGCACGGTATGCAACTCTAGGTTGCATTTGACTCTAGGAAAATGTCGGCATTGACCTGGCGCTGCCAGCCAGTGAAGAATTGATACAAATACATCTGGGCACCAGAACTAATGTAATCACTGACCCGTGATTGCACAAGTCCAGTCTAAACGGTGACACCAGCGATTATGATGCTACGCTGCGATTGCCCAAAAATGGCTCTATCGTGGATAAATGTCACAGTGCCGTGATACAGGATCTGATGCAAATCGTAGTCTTCCTCGTGCTCCTGCTCCTTGTCTTCCCCCCACTCTTTATCGCCCTGTCATCATCATCATCATCATCATCATCATCATCATCATCATCGTCGTCGTCATCATCATCATCATCATCATCATCATCATCATCATCATCATCATCAGCATCGTCATCATCATCGTCATCATCATCAGCATCATCATCATAATCGTCATCATGAGCATAAGCATCAGCATCATCACCATCACCACAACAACTATCACCATCACCATCATCTTCACCAGCATAATCGTAACCATAATTACGATTATCATTTGCATCACACAATCAACACCACTGACACCACCACCATCATCATCACCACCACCAGTATCATCATAGTCAGCCTACTCGGCATGTTCATCATCGTCATTACCATCATCATCATAATCAGCAGCAGCAGCAGCACAGCCATCATCATCATCATCATCATCATCATCATCATCATGATCACATCGTTATCAGTATCACTATCATTACCAGCATCATCTTGATCACCGGCGTCGCCAGCAGCAGCACCATAACCCTCATCCTCCCCATCCTCATCCATACCTCATGTTATGCCTTCTCCTCATCATCGTCCTCATCATCATCCTCATTCTTCGCCTCAACATCATCCTCCCTTCTCCGCCTTTCTCCCTCCCCCACTCACTCAACTTCTCTCCTCTCGCATCTTTTACAAAGTTTGAATATTATTATCTTCTCTCCCCTGACTCTGCGCGGAAATATTATGCCCTCTCCATATACTGTTCTTTACACACCAGAATTCAAAAGTTGTGCATACAATCCGATTGTCTTCGGTGTTTCAAAGTGGAGCTCCCGCTGCAGCGTGGGCCTTTTTCAAATCGGCGCTCCTCCTGTGGACGTAGCTCCCCTTTTCCGAGTGCGCGTAACTCGGTGGGATTTGCTGGGGGGAGTTCCAGGTCGGCAATGACTCGCGCCCGGGGATCGAGAAAAAGCCGGCGCCATGGGAAGGGACGGGAGGGAGGGATAGGATACCAAATATGGCTGGAGCGCGCCTACCGCACCCTCCCCCCCCCGCCCCCCGCCTCCCGCCTCCCCCTGCAGCCGCCACGGAAATCAGTGCCCAGCACGACGCCGCGGCGCGGGAGGCAGCCGCGGGGCCCGGGAGGCGAGCGCAGTCGGCCCCGCGCGTGCGCGCCCGCGGCTCCCCGTGGGGCCCTGGGCCCGCTGCGGCTCGGCGCCCGCGCGGGTGCCGCCGCGCTCGCCGCGCGGAGGGGCGGGAGGTGGGGCCACCTGCGGCGCGGGGGCGTCGGCGAGGGGCACCGCCCGCCGCTGGTGGCGAGGCCGGGCCGCGGATGCGCCGAGGAGGTCTGGTCCAACAGGGGCGGTCTCGACGGCTGCCGGGGCGCCCCGCGTCGAGCTGGGGGGGGGCCTGTCGGGACGGGCCAGGGGGGGCCTCAAGTCTAGCGAAACCAACCTTGTCCAACAAACCCTTCTGGCAGCCACCGATTGGCGGCACAGAAGCCCCCTAGTGGAGGAGGAACTCATTGAGGGCGACGCACGTCTGCCTTCAAGGGGCGAAGGAGGGCAACAACAAAAGATGATGCCCTCAAAGGCAAAGGAAGACCAGGCAGCCCTGGGGTGCGCTGGCGGGGCGCTGGCGCACCAAGCAGGCGCCGATGCCGGCAGGAGTGCTGCGGAGCTAGGATGAGGAGCGGCACAGCGCTCGAGGCGGCAGCAGCAGAGGCAGCAGCAGCGGCAGTGGCAGCGGCAGCGGCAGAGGCAGGTGCAGAAGCTGCGACAGTGATAATCGCAGTGGTAGTGATAGAGGCAGTGGTAGTGGCAGTAGTGGTCGTGGCAGTGGCAGTGGCAACAACGGCAGTGGCGGTGGCAGTGGCAGAGACACTGGCAGTGGCAGTGGTAGCAGTATGGTTATTGTCGTGGTAATGGTGGTATGCACGTAAAAAATGAAGTAGGGCGAATCAGGTAGGTTGGGATCCAACCGCCCACCCAGCACCCCCCTCCACCACCACCACCACCACCGGAAGAAGGACGGAAAAGGGAACGCTCTTCGTAGGGACGAGTTTGAGTTGTTCTATTGGTAGTTGTAGTGGTAATATCAGTTGAAGTGGTAGCAGCGACTGCTGCAGACACGGTGGTCATGGCCCATTGCGATGGTGGTGCTTGTGGTAGATGTTGCAATGGCGCCAGTGGCTGTTGTAGTGTGGGGCACACACACAACGATGGCGTCTTGTAGAGCCTCGGCAACGACGATGTGGTTTCCCGCTTTCTCCTCGACGCTCTCTCCGACGACGACGCCGACGCCGACGACGACGACGGACGGCTGCGGTAGCGGCATCGACAACCAGGAAGAAAATGTCTTTGGTCGAAAATTGCCGACTGGACTCTTGGAACCGCTTGATTGCAGCCGCCGCCGCAACCTGCGGCCCCTCGAGCGCGCGGGTCCGCGCGTCGGCCTTGAGTCTCCGTGCACTCTCTAGCAGAATTTCGTGCGCTCGCTGCTCGCATTGCTCCCTGGCCCTTCGGGCTGCAGAGACGCGCTGCTCGGCGGCCTCCAGTGGCGTCTGCGCCTGCTCTGCGGACTGCCGCCCCAAGGCAGGATCCGCTGGTGCTAGTTGCGCTCCGCCTCGAGCCTCCTCTCGGATCTGGCTCGGGGCTTGGGCAGCACCGCCCTCTCCGCTCTCTGCACCATCATGGCCAAGGGCTGCCGAGGCAGCAGTGACTGCGTGAGCCTGCAAGTCGCGCGAGTGATATCCAAGGAATAGAAACGGCGCAAACATATACTCTCCGAGGTCCGCGCGGATTGCTTGGGCCAGCGCTGGACACCCCCCCCCCGGCGCCCTAAGCGCGTCAGGGGCGGCACCGTGGGCAACGCCAGTGGGCCCAGCGCCGACCAGAGGAACCCGCGCGGACCTCCGAAAGGTTGTGTCCCTGCCGCCCCTCGTTCCCCGGCATGTGACCGCAGGTTCTGCGGGCGAAACGCGGGAGCGCCCCCCTCTGCACCGCGGGGCCTCCCCGCGCCCCCGTGCAGCGCCTCCTGCAGCGGCACAGGAAACGGCATGCGCATAGCGCATGCCTCGGAGGTCCGCGCGGAGCTCTTGGATCGGCTCTGGGCCCCCCATCCCGGGCGCGGCGCCCGAGGGGCGCCGCCAGGGGACCCAGCGCCGATCCGAGAACTCCGAACTGACATCCCCGGAGGCCTCCTAGATGGGGTCGGAGCAGATGGGGTCTGAAGATCGCGCCGCATCGCCGGTGCATCGGCGATGCATCGGCGATGCACCAGCGATGCATCGTCGACGCCGGCGGTACATCGGCGACGTCGGCGTTAAGCAAATGGGGCCCCACATCGAGCCGCATCGGCGATGCATCGACGATAGGGCGAGATCCACCGACCCCATCTACTCGGACCCCATCTAGGAGGCCTAGATTCTCGACCCACGTTCAACCGATCCCAATCCCCACCTGTCGTGGCCTGGGACCCCCTGGCACTTCTTTACCCCACCAGATGGGGACGTGTGCCGCTTCCTTCGGGCATCGAGGGGCATGTGCTGCTTCCTCGAGGACTGGATGGTGGGGCTGAGATGCCATGGCCTTCTCGGTTGCATGACAATCGACCCCTGACCAGAAAAAGCATGACTGCCCATGTTGAGCATGAGTTGACAAACTCTCTGTCGCTAGATGGTCAATGACGAGCCACATCCACATCGCAGAGCGGGGTGGGGGCTGGGAAGGGGAATGCCACTCCTTGACCAAACCACTGCACCAGTTTGTGGCCGCCGCGATCGCCACGGCGACCTCCAAAAAACGGCCGGGAAGGTTGGTTCGGAGTCGGATATCACGCAACGACCGTTGGGGATGGGGATAGGTCAAACGATGCTGACCTCTGCACCGCAGGGCCTCCCCACGCCCCAGTGCAGCGCCTCCTCGTCAGGTGGCGACACACAGACCCCCGCCAACCAACCATCGGTTCTCCCGAATCGACGGGAGGCAGGGGTAGGGCTCGGACTTCGCCACATGCTCGACGAATTCCAAACCCTAACCCCCGCCGCCCATCAAGTTGCCTGAATCCTTGATCGGCAAGGATGAGGAGGAGGACGAGGAGGAGGAGAAGGACGAGGAGGAAGAAGAGGAGCGCCCACTTCCGATGCGTGGTCGTGCCCACGAGCCGAGGAGCGAGTCGTCAGACCTCGCACCTTTTGGTGGAGTCTGGTTGGGGCTCGAGCTCGGGGATGATGATGAGGAGGAGAAGAGGAGGAGTTGGAGGAGCAGAAGGAGGAGGAGGAGGAGCAGCAGCAACAGGAGAAGGAGGAGCAGGAAGAGGTGGGAGAGGTGGAGGAGGAGGAGAGGAGGGGGAGGAGGAGGGAGAGGTGGAGGAGGAAGAGGAGGCGGAGGATTAGGATTAGGAGGAGGAGGAGGAGGAGGAGGAGGAGGAGGAGGAGGAGGAGGAGGAGGTGGGAGAGGGGAGGGTTCGGACTTCGCCGCCGATCCTGGGCGCTCCGCGCCTCGCGCGCCGCACGCAGCACGGCCGGCCCCGCCGTGCGAGCCTCCGTCTCGGCCCGCCGCTCCGCCGCCTCGGCGGCCCGCGTCGCCTCCTCCGCGGCCCGCAACGCCTCCTCCGCGGCCTGGCCGACGGCCCTCCCCGCCTGCCGGGGCGTCCACAGGAGACCATGGCGCGGCAGTCGTCTCACCGCGGGCGCTGTCGCCCGGCTCCGGGCTCCGGGGGCCTTCGCAGATCGATGCGGCCCGGGAAGTGCCGCGGAAAAATTGGGGGCCGGGGCTCCGGTAGCGATGTTGCGTAATGCCGTAATGCTTCTGCAGCGTCAGATCTGAGGATCCAAGACGGGGCGTGTCCTCCTACAGGCGGATTTGGGACGAAGAATAAAAATGGTCAGAACTAGTCAAAAAAATCGTCCCAGACTATGTTTTTATTCCCCACATCCTGAGTGGGGTTCTTGTTTTCCCAGAACACCCTCTCCTTCCCACCCACCTCCCGCTCCATCTTCCATACAGCACAATATTATTCCTACCACACACACACATACACACACCATACCATACCATAGTTCCTGCCACACATACCATACCATACCATACCATACCATACCATACCATACCATACCACACCATACGTACCATACCGTACCATACCATACCATGGCGTACCATAGCATACCATACCATATCACACCAATGCCACACCGTACCATACCATACCATACCTCCAGTACCATACCATACCATATCATACCATACCGTACCATACCATACCTACCATACCATTCCATACCACTCCATACCGAAAACCATACTACTTACATGGTTTCGTGCCCCTCCCACCCCTCCAGGGAGGCCCCGCCTGAGCGAGGAGGGTATCGGAAAACCATACTATTTACATGGTTTCGTGCCCCTCCCACCCCTCCAGGGAGGCCCCGCCTGAGCGAGGAGGGTATCGGAAAACCATACTATTTACATGGTTTCGTGCCCCTCCCACCCCTGCAGGGAGGCCCAGCCTGAGCGAGGAGGGCATCGGAAAACCATACTATTTACATGGTTTCGTGCCCCTCCCACACCTCCACGGAGGCCCCGCCTGAGCGAGGAGGGTATCCGAAAACCATACTATTTACATGGTTTCGTGCCCCTCCCACCCCTCCAGGGAGGCCCCGCCTGAGCGAGGAGGGTATCGGAAAACCATACTATTTACATGGTTTCGTGCCCCTCCCACACCTCCAGGGAGGCCCCGCCTGAGCGAGGAGGGTATCCGAAAACCATACTATTTACATGGTTTCGTGCCCCTCCCACCCCTGCAGGGAGGCCCCGCCTGAGCGAGGAGGGTATCGGAAAACCATACTATTTTCATGGTTTCGTGCCCCTCCCACCCCTCCAGGGAGGCCCCGCCTGAGCGAGGAGGGTATCCGAAAACCATACTATTTACATGGTTTCGTGCCCCTCCCACCCCTCCAGGGAGGCCCCGCCTGAGCGAGGAGGGTATCCGAAAACCATACTATTTACATGGTTTCGTGCCCCTCCCACCCCTCAGGGAGGCCCCGCCTGAGCGAGGAGGGTATCCCCATACTATTTACATGGTTTCGTGCCCCTCCCACCCTTCCAGGGAGGCCCCGCCTGAGCGAGGAGGGTATCGGAATACCATACTATTTACATGGTTTCGTGCCCCTCCCACCCCTCCAGGGAGGCCCCGCCTGAGCGAGGAGGGTATCGGAATACCATACTATTTACATGGTTTCGTGCCCCTCCCACCCCTCCAGGGAGGCCCCGCCTGAGCGAGGAGGGTATCCGAAAACCATACTATTTACATGGTTTCGTGCCCCTCCCACCCCTGCAGGGAGGCCCCGCCTGAGCGAGGAGGGTATCCGAAAACCATACTATTTACATGGTTTCGTGCCCCATCCCACCTCTCCAGGGAGGCAAAACCATACTATTTACATGGTTTCGTGCCCCTCCCACACCTCCAGGGAGGCCCCGCCTGAGCGAGGAGGGTATCGGAAAACCATACTATTTACATGGTTTCGTGCCCCTCCCACCCTCCAGGGAGGCCCCGCCTGAGCGAGGAGGGTATCGGAAAACCATACTATTTACATGGTTTCGTGCCCCTCCCACCCCTCCAGGGAGGCCCCGCCTGAGCGAGGAGGGTATCCGAAAACCATACTATTTACATGGTTTCGTGCCCCTCCCACCCCTCCAGGGAGGCCCCGCCTGAGCGAGGAGGGTATCGGAAACCATACTATTTACATGGTTTCGTGCCCCTCCCACCCTCAGGGAGGCCCCGCCTGAGCGAGGAGGGTATCGGAATACCATACTATTTACATGGTTTCGTGCCCCTCCCACCCCTCCAGGGAGGCCCCGCCTGAGCGAGGAGGGTATCCGAAAACCATACTATTTACATGGTTTCGTGCCCCTCCCACCCCTCCAGGGAGGCCCCGCCTGAGCGAGGAGGGTATCGGAATACCATACTATTTACATGGTTTCGTGCCCCTCCCACCCCTCCAGGGAGGCCCCGCCTGAGCGAGGAGGGTATCGGAATACCATACTATTTACATGGTTTCGTGCCCCTCCCACCCCTCCAGGGAGGCCCCGCCTGAGCGAGGAGGGTATCGGAATACCATACTATTTACATGGTTTCGTGCCCCTCCCACCCCTCCAGGGAGGCCCCGCCTGAGCGAGGAGGGTATCGGAATACCATACTATTTACATGGTTTCGTGCCCCTCCCACCCCTCCAGGGAGGCCCCGCCTGAGCGAGGAGGGTATCGGAATACCATACTATTTACATGGTTTCGTGCCCCTCCCACCCCTCCAGGGAGGCCCCGCCTGAGCGAGGAGGGTATCGGAAAACCATACTATTTACATGGTTTCGTGCCCCTCCCACCCCTCCAGGGAGGCCCCGCCTGAGCGAGGAGGGTATCCGAAAACCATACTATTTACATGGTTTCGTGCCCCTCCCACCTCTCCAGGGAGGCCCCGCCTGAGCGAGGAGGGTATCCGAAAACCATACTATTTACATGGTTTCGTGCCCCTCCCACCCCTCCAGGGAGGCCCCGCCTGAGCGAGGAGGGTATCGGAAAACCATACTATTTACATGGTTTCGTGCCCCTCCCACCCCTCCAGGGAGGCCCCGCCTGAGCGAGGAGGGTATCCCCGGAGCCCCGCCTGAGCGAGGAGGGTATCCGAAAACCGTACTATTTACATGGTTTCGTGCCCCTCCCACACCTCCAGGGAGGCCCCGCCTGAGCGAGGAGGGTATCCGAAAACCATACTATTTACATGGTTTCGTGCCCCTCCCACCCCTCCAGGGAGGCCGAAAGCATTACTCTTCGCCAGGTTTCGTAGCCCTCCCCCCTTCCAGCGGGGCCCCGCCAAAGCGAGGAGGGCATCAAGAAAATGGGTCCCACGAAACCGTGAATCTCTTTATGTGGGGAACTCCGTTAGCATAATTATTTTTGAATATTCCTCCTGTAGAGGGACATGCCCGACGTAATACAAACGGGGGGGGGCGCATCGTGGCCAAAGGCACGCGCGCGGACGAGGGGGGGAGGGGTCCAGGGGATGCACGGTTTCCCCATGGGCCGTAGGCGACCCGAAGAGAAGGAGGAGGAGGAGGAGGAGGAGGAGGAGGAGGAGGAGGAGGAGGAGGGGGAGGGGGAAGGGGAAAGAGGAGATACAGGAGAAAAAGGAAGAGAAAGATGAGGGTGGGGGGGAGAACAACAAAAAAAAAAAAAAAAAAAATGTAAACCCGAGAGTCATCAACGATGTTGTTGGAATTAACCCTCCCTCCAAGCTCCCTCTTCATAGGCCCCTACAACCGTTCATTTCCATTGAGGGACTTCCTTGTCGGAAGACAACAATTTGAAAATCTTGAAGCATGCCAAAACATTGATCTCGGGATTTGAACGCCACGTCTCAACCTGACTACTGCGTCTTGACGAACCGGAATCGTGCTAAAGCGCCCCGTTGGGGATTTCAACACCGCGAATCAACATATCAACATAACTGCTGCATCCGCATAACCCTGAATCCTGCCTAAACACCATTTCTGGTACGTTGATCATGGAAATCGAAACTCTTTCGAAAATTGAAAACGAATGTGCGCGGCGCTAAGGCGAGAGCCACATTCTGAGAACCGCCCTCAACCCGTGAAACTCTTGCACATGTTTAAAGCGAATGTGCGCGGCGCTAAGGCGAGAGCCACATTTTGAAAAGGAACCACCCTCAACCCGTGAAACTCTTGCAAATGTTTAAAACGAATGTGCGCGACGATAAAGCGAGAGCCACATTTTGAAAACGGCCCGCCCTCAATCCGTGAAACTCCTGCAAATGTTTAAATCGAATGTGCGCGGCGCTAAGGCGAGAGCCACATCTTGAAAACCACCCGCCTTCAATCCGTGCAACGCTTGCGAATGTTTAAGGCGAATGTGCGCGGCGCTTACGCGAGAGCCACATGTTGAAAACAACCCGCCCTCCATCTGCGAAACTGTTGTCATGGTTTAAGATTCAGAATCACAAGTGGTAAGGAAGTCTCCAGCGAAACGCCCAGTCCGCCCTCAAAACTGGCCTCGGGGTGCGACAAGGAGAAGTTATATATAAGGGGAAGGAATGGAAGAGGAGGAGGAGGAGCAGGAGGAGGAGGAGGTGGAGGAGGAGGAGGAGGGGGAGGAGGAGACGACCCTCGAGCCCCCCGCGGCCAGACGATGTTATTTTGCGCAGGTGAGGCGAGGCGGCGAGCCCAACAGAGTGTGGGGCCAGCGACTGCGCAGTGCGAGGCCGACACCAGCCGAGACAGGATGACAAGGTTAAAACGTGCTCCGCGCCAGAACGGGTTAAAAGAGTAAGAAAAGAAAGGAGGAGATAGGGGCAGGATGGTGGGAGCTTGAGCAAGGACGGCGGCAGACAAAGTCGCCGTGCGGCCGCTCTCTTCTCGCTCATTGCTTCCCGTTCTGAAAACTGCACAGCACTACCCTCGAGCCCCCCGCGGCCAGACGATGTTATTGTGCGCAGGCGAGGCGAGGCGGCGAGCCCAACAGAGCGTGGGGCCAGCGACTGTGCAGTGCGAGGCCGACACCAACCGAGACAGGATGACAAGGTTAAAACGCGTTCCCGATCCCGAATGCAGAACTGGCCGACCGGCCGCAC